CTATCTATCTATCTATCTATCTATCTATCTATCTATCTATCTATCTATCTATCTATCTATCTATCATCTATACCATGTTTTATGTTGTAAAAATACATTTAGTATGATGAATGAAGATGTATGAGAACACTGTTGGCAATATCTTATAAATTACGTGATCACCTAGAACAAGCATCAAAAATGGCCACACATGTTAGCATATCTTTGGTGCTTTCCAACTGTCCCCTTAAAATGGGTGAAGTCTTTTTTTATGTACTTTTTAAGGTTTAAACAGGGTTCAGATGTAAATGGATGCCAGATGCTCAAAGCACAATTTCACAAAGCTTTCCTCAGTTGGGTGTGCAGCTAAGCAAACTGTAGAACAGTCTTCAAGTCAAGAAAATGTTGATGTCTTTCATGTTGTTCAACCCAGGTTGCTGAGAAGATGCCATCACACCCAAATTGTACCTTGGGTTTAAAAGAACTTAAGAAACTATATATAAATTTTATATTAGAGCATAGTATAGGAATATATTGTATATGGAAGCTAAATGCTAGTACTAAAATAAAAGATGTTTTAATCCTGTAGGCTTCCATTAGACTTTCTAGAATATCACATAAATTATTTTAAAGATCTGCATATCAGGGTATTTTTTTAAAATTTAATGTTATGCCAATGTAGCAATATCACATATTAGTTAAAAATCTTATAGTTAAAAAATAAAAATTGACAATGGATTAGTGGAGGCGGTGTACATGAATTTTTTTAATAAATTAGTTCTACATAAGTTTTAACAATAATAATGAAACTCAAATCAGTAATTTCCCCCTCTTTTTAGCTGCTCCTTTTATGGCTAAAAATAAACTCATCCACTTTTTGGAAATACTAATATTTCCTTTTGCTTATAAATAATCTAAGATTATTTACATACAATCCCTTTCAAACTCTTCTTAAATGTCCATTAAGGGAACTAGATTTATTTTTAACAGCATTATTCCTGTAATACAAGAAACATTACTTGAATTACTTTTCAAATTCAACCATAACCTTTAGGCGCAAAAGAAAGAAAAGCTTTTCCATTCTGAAATTAAGATTTGCTGAATTTTTGTTGGGAGTTGAAAGAGATGAAATTCAAAAATAGAGATCACTTTCCCAAAAAGCACAGTAGGTTTGGCAGAACCCCTTGGGAAATAAAAACAAGCCACAAGTTTCCTAAAAGCATTTATTTTATAACTTCCATCAGAAAAGGCCATGGAATGGTTAACAACTGAAGACAAATGAATTCTAATGAAAAATGATTCCTAGTGAATTTTACAGCACGGCAGCAGTTAAACCGCAATGTACCATGGAATCTGAAAGACACAAAGAGATTAAAAGCTTTGAAAAGACATTCCATAAAAATCTTTGCACTTGGAAAATTTTAATAAATCCATTGCGTCAATTGACTTACTCCTTTTTTGTCAAGTGGTTCAAGAGTTTTTGCTCAGCAAAGTACTGCTATGTACAGTAGCCATTGAACTATGATCCTCTTGAGTGCCTATGATTCCATTGTTCATTTCCTGCAATGCTTTTTTCACCAGGACTGAAAAATCAACCTCAATTATTTTTCTGTAGTGAAGAAAGACAACTAAGTACTTTACGTATTTGTGTGAATGAAATAACCATATGAACGTTTTATTCACACATGGTGTGCATTTACAACTGGTAAGAAATGGAGAACTATT